GTGTGGGGGGGGGGGGGGGGAAGGGGGGACATGCAGCACAGACCTGCATGTGCGAGTATTAAGGGCAGATTTCCCCTGAAGTCCCCTGACTGTCCTGGCCTGGTGCTATAGGGACGGAGGGAAACCGAGCAGTCTGCAGTTCCCCCACAGCACCCCTGCCAGCTGACAATCCCCTTCAATTGGAGAAGGAGTGTATATACCCGAGTACACCTGGGCGACACATGTGATAATCTTTAGCTGCCTGCCTGCCCATTTGGGAACACCCAATCATGGGTCACCATTTTTCTCCCCCTGTAGCCACGCCGCTTGCATCTACTTCCTGGTTCTCCGAGCCCTGGACACCATAGAAGACGACATGTCCATCAGTTTGGAAACGAAGATCCCAATGTTGCGTGAGTTCCACACCTACCTGCATCAACCAGGGTGGAGGTACACGGAGAGCAAAGCCAAGGACAAGCAAGTGCTGGAGGACTTCCCCACGGTAAGCCCTTATGTCTCACTGCCCCTCTCCCCACAGTAGCCTGTGAGCTAAGTCTTACAGGTACCCTCTTGAAGCCTTCTTGCATCTTGATCAGATCCAGCCCCACATAGTCCTGAGTCCCTCACAGCAGGCAGGTTGTCTGTCCCTAGTGAGCTGTACTGTCACTTTTTTTTGTCTTGGCTTGATGAGCACTAGAAGTGGCTTTGGCCTGAATGAGAGCACGGAGCCCCCGGTTTGATGGGTATTCAAAGGTGTAGGGTGACTGCTGAGTCCTTTCTTAAGTGATGGCAGGTTTGCTGTTTGCACCAAGTATGGGTGAGGGATGCAGAAAATATCCCTGTTTGCACATGGGGTCCTCATGATTCCTGGCCAAATCCCAGTTGCCATATGCAGCTCCCAGGACTTGTCCAGGAGCTATGCACGATGGAGCCAGGCCAGCTCAGCCTTACTCTCTGCTGCCATGTGCGGCTCCCAGGGCTCATCTGGGAGCCGTGAGGATCTGGATGCTGTTTGGGGACCTCAGGCTGGTGCAGGCCATGCGTGCCGGGAGGGGCCATGAGTTGGAGCCAGCCCCACTCCCATGTTGAGGGCTGCATTGCATGGGGTGCCAGGGGCAATGGGCAGAGAGGGCAGGAGATGTCTGAGCCCCTTGGCCTGCACCATGGGGGAAGGAGTGATGAGCCAGGTTGGCCAGCTGGCCACAGCCAACCACATAAGGCTCCTCGTCGAGTGAGGGGAAGCGGAGGTGAGTGGAGGGCAGTGGGGAGGTAGCTGTAGCTTGCTGTTTTCTGCCCCGGTGTGCAGGACTTCAGTTGCCAGCCCCCTTCCACCCACTCTGCCCACCCAGCATGATCAACAGCCACCGGCATGTGGTCGAGTGGGTGGAAGGTGGGTGCATGCAGAGTGGATTGTGGGTCTGTGTGTACCCCTGCTCTGAATAGTCCCAGGTGCTTCTCAGCTTTGATGTGCCGGGCTGTGCTTGAAAGAACGAAGCCCCTACCTGTCATCATTTTGACTACCTGCTTTAAGCAGGCTTGCCACAGTCTGAGTCCACACTTGGATTCCCAGGCTTTGTTTTGTAACTGCTGTGTTTGTGGACTCCCAAGTGATACTGGCCCAGGCTGTGCATCATCAGGAAGATATGAGCGGCTTCTGCGCTGTGCCCAAAGGCCAGGGGAGCCTTTGAGCATGTGCTCACTGCGCACAAGGCCGTGGTCCTGCACTCCTCTCAGCCAGTGGGAGTTTGGCCAACATCTCCAGCAAGAGCAGGATAAGAGTCTAGTAAACAGTCCCTGTGTTACTCATTCCTAGTCCATTCATGAATGCCAGAGCCTGCTTTGCATCTGGCACACTGTGCGTATCTCCTTGTGGCTTCTGCTGTAGATCTCCTTGGAGTTCAGGAACCTGGCCAAGGTGTATCAGGATGTGATCACTGATACTTGTCACAAGATGGGAGTGGGAATGGCGGAGTTCTTGGAAAAGCGGGTCGACTCCCTGCAGGATTTGGAGAAGGTAAGGACACATGAGCAGCAAAGCAACCAGCCCAGGCTAACGTGCCTCAGTCTTGCAGGCAGTCGGCTGTCAACTCCAGGATGGAGGGCATTATCTCCTTCCCCTTGCAGCCAGATCTCTCACCTGGAGTGAGATGCCTACTCCAACTCTAACTTGAAACCTCAGGGACTCTGGAAGATACAGTTCTCGGACCTCTTTTTTTTTTCCCTCCCCACATCTTGCAGTATTGCCGCTGTGTTGCTGGACTCGGGGGGATTGGTTTTTCCCGTCTCTACTCTGCATCAGAGCTTGAAGACCCGATCGTAGGACAGGACACAGAGCTTGCAAGCTCCATGACTCTTTTCATGCAGAAAACCAACATCATTCATGATTACCTGGAGGACCAGCTGGAGGGAAGGGAATTCTGGCCTAGAGAGGTAAAGGAAACCCCCATTTCGTAGATGTACTGTTGTGTATTGTTGTGATGAGGCAGCTCATCTGAACAGGACAGTCTGACCAAGATGTTGGTCTGCCCTGTGTAAAGCAATGTGGGGAAACATCAGAAGAAACCATAGCCTACTACAGAAGCAGGGGTGTTGGTAAGGTAGGTAGGAGATCACATGGTCCCAGTGATTTGGTTTCATTCTCTAACCGTAGTTCTCTGAGCAGATACGGGAGAGTGAGAGGGGCTCATTAGAAGTGTCCTTCGTGGCATGGTCAATGGGACAACAGGAGAAGACAATTTGTGATCATAGCATCCTAGAGAATTAGGGCTGGCAGGGACCTCCAGCGCTCGTCCAATCCAACCCCCTCCATACCCAACCACCCCATACAAACTGTAATCTAAACTCTATGTAAGACTGTGGTCAACCTTGACAGGACACAGACCTAACATGCTAACCTACCATAGGTAAAACAGGGGATCCACAGCAGCCAACGTCCTGCTTCTATATGAGGTAGTCAAGAGATCCTAGGTAGAGGGCCTGGCTCCCTGCTAGAGAGGAAGGCACGCCCCCGCCCCAGTTCCATACCAGTCTGACCATGGGGACCTGCTAACTGGAATAACCCTGAGCAGAGGGGCAAGACCCTCTATTCAGGAGCCTCTGGCTTTGGTCCCAGAAAGAGCACTGGCACAGCCAAGTCGAAGTCGACAGACTTTGACATCCAGCATCTCTGAGGGATGCTCAAAAACATCCTGACACATCGTAGAAAAGTGGAGGGAGCAACCAGCAAAGCCCAGAAGCATGGGAAATACATATCCATAGCAGAACAGAGGCACAGCTACGCCTAGATTGTCCCCAATAATAGAACCATAGAAAATGAGGGTTGGAAGGGACCTCAGGAGGTCACATCTAGTCCAACCCCCTGCTCAAAGCAAGAACATCTCATACCAGATCATCCCAGCCAAAGCTTTGTCTAGCCAGGTCTTCATAATGTCCACAGATGGAGATTCCACCACAACTCTAGGCATGTCTACACAAGATGCTACGTTGCTGTAGTGATGAGTTACATCTCCGTAGATTGTTGCTCCGGTGACATAGCTTTGGTGGGCACAAATCATGATGCCGAAGCTACTGCTCTTTAGCTTGTTGTTGCTGTGCAGTATTGGGGGGGGAGGGGGGAGTGCAGCACCAGGACTATGCAGTTAAGCTGGTTATTGTGCAGTCATTTTCTTCTTAAGCAAGTACGAAATTACTCTGCAGTAACAACAGCGCAGTCCACTCCATGTATAGATGCACCAACTGGGTAGCCTGTTCCAGTGCTTTACTAACCTCCTCATGAGATGTTTTTTCTTAATATCTAAGCTAAACTTCCCGTGTTGCAACTTGAGCCATTGTTCCTAGTTCTGTCATCTGCCACCACTGAGAACAGTCTAGCTCCATCCTCTTTGCAGCCGCCCTGCTGCTAGTAAATCCTTTCTATCTTCTCTCCTCCAGACTAAATAAGCCCAGTTCCCTCCACCTCTCCTCAGAAGTCATGTGCCCCAACCTCTGAACCATTTCATTGTCTTCCTTTGGACTGTCTCTAGTTTGTCCACAACCTTTCTGTAGTGGGGGGCCCAAAATGGACACACACTCTTGATTTGGCCTCACTACTGCTGAATGGAGGGGGAGAATCACTTCCTTCGATCTGCTGGCAACATCCCTACCAATGCAGTCCAGGATGCCATTAGCCTTCTTGACAATAAGGGTGCACTGGTGGCTCATATTCAGCTTTGTGTCTACTGTCACCCCCAGGTCTTTCTGCAGAGCCGCTGCTTGGCCAGTCATCCCCAGCCTGTACCGGTACGTGGGATTATTCTGCCCTAAGATAAGGACTTTGCACTTGTCCTTATTGAAGCTCATGAGATTTCTTTTGGTCCAATCCTCCAATTTGCTGAGGTCTCTCTGTATCCTAGTCCTACCCTCTAACATCTTCTACTCCCCGCCATTCAGTGTCATCTGCAAACTTTCTGAGCGTCCACTCCTTCCTCAGTGACCTGGAAGATGGGACGATATGGAACAGAACTGGCCCCAGGACCAACACCTGGACACTCTATGTAATATTGACCGCCAACTATGCATTGAGCCATTGATTACTACCCTATGAGCCTGACAGTCCAGCCAGAGGTTGAACCAGTGACTGTCCAACCTCTTCTTGAACACCTCCATTGATGGAGAGTCCACACCTCCTCTAGACATCTTTTCCACTGCCTCACTATTGAAGTGAAGAAGTTGTTTGGGTTTTTTTCCCTGGATATCCAGTCTAAATGTACTTTGCTACATCTTGAAGCCATTGGTCTGCATTCTGTCTGCAGCAAGAGAGCAAAGGTGCTTTCCCTGTCCTTTATGGCAGCCCTTCAAGTATTTGAAGATACCTGTCCCTTCTTAAGCACCTTTTAGCAAGCTGGACATGCCAAGCTCCTTCAACCTCTCTTCATATGTCTTACTTTCCAAGCCCTTATCATCTGATTGCCTACCTCTGGACTCTCTCTAATTTATCCATGTCCTTTTTAACACGTGGAGCCTAGAAATGCATGCAGAGGAGAGGCACTATCACTTTCCGTGTCTTATACCTAACACTTCTATTTAATGCATCCCAAAGCCACATTGGCCTTTTGTGCTGCTGGATCACATTGCAGACTGATATTGAACCTACAAAACTCCCAGATCCTTCTCCATAGTGCTGCAATTCAGGCAGGTGTCACCCATTTTGTATTCGTATTTTGGATTATTCTTTCATAGGTGTACCAGTTTGCATTTGCTTGCACTGAACTTCATCCTGTTATCTCTAGCCCAATTAATCAGTATGTTGATCTTTCTGAATAGCACTCTCATCCTCCAGCATGTTCATGTTCCTCCCCAGTTTCATGCCACCTGCCAACTTGCTCAAGAAGCCATCTATGTCAGCATCCAAATAATTAATAAACTCATTGAATAGCACCAGGCCCAGGACAGATCCCTGTAGGACTCCACTCAAAATCTCTTCCCGTTCTGACATGCATTGCCCTTTTCTTGTGCCTATTGAGCCAGTTGTCTATCCACCTTTTAGTAAGTCCAATTTGTTCATGAGACGGTCATGCAAGACATTGTCAAAAGCCTTGCTGAAGTCCAGATGCACTATATCCACAGCAGTCTCTTCATCCACCTACAGAATCACTTTGTCAAAGCAGGAGGTCAGATTTGAAACAATTTCATAGAATCAGAGAAATTGAGGGTTGAAGGGACCTCAGGAAGTCATCTAGTCCAACCTCTTGCTTAAAGCACAACCAGCCCCAACTACATCATCCCAGCCCAGGCTTTGTCTAGCTGGGTCTTAAAAACCTCCTAGGGTGGAGAGTCCACCACCTCTCTGGGTCACCTATTCCAGTGTTTTACTACCCTCCTAGTGAAAGAGTTTTTCCTAATATCTAAACTAAATTTCCCTTGCTGCAACTTGAGCCCTTTGCTCCCTGTTCTGTCACCTGCCACCACTGAGAACAGTCCAGCTCCATCCTCTTCAGATCCACCCTTCAGGTAGTTGAAGGCTGCTATTAAATCCCCCCTCTGTCTTCTCTTCTCCAGACTAAATAAGCCCAGTTCCCTCAGCCTCTCCTCAGAAGTCATGGCCCCAGCCCCTTCACCAGTTTTCTTGCCCTCCACTGGACCATCTCCAATGCGCCCACATCCTTTCTGTAGTGGGGGGCCCAAAACTGAACACAGTACTCCAATTGTGACCTCCCCAGTGCTGCATAGAGGGGAAGAATCAGTTCCCTCGATCTGCTGACAACGCTCCTACTAACACAGCGCAAGATGCCATTAGCCGTCTTCGAAACAAGGAGGCCCTGTTGGCTCGTATTCAGCTTGCTCTGCACTGTAACCCCCGGGTCCACTCCTGCAAAGCTGCTGCTTGACCAGTCGGTCCCCAGCCTGTACGAGTACATAGGATTGTTGCGCCCTATGTTCAGGACTTGGCACTTGTCCTTATTGAACCTCGTGAGAGTTTCTTTTTTCTTTTTATGGTCCAGTCATCCATTTGTTGATGTCTGTCTGAATACTAGCTCTACCCTCCCGCATATTTACTATTCTCCCCCCACCCTCCTCCAGTTTGGTGTCATCTGCAGACTTGCAGAGGGTGCACTCCATCCCATCTGCCATGTCGCTAATGAAGCTATTGAACAAAACCAGGCCAAGGACTGACATCTGGGGCACTCCGCTTGATACCAACTGCCAATTAGACATCGAGCCATTAACTGCTACTGTCTGAGCTTGATGATCCCACCAGTTTGCTATCCACCTTACACTCCATTCATGCAACCCATACTTCCTTGATTTGTTGTTAGTAAATCCATGCTGGCTGCTTCTGATCGACCTTTCCTCCTCCGGATGCTTGCAAATGGCCTTGGCTAGGATATCCCCCAGGAACTTCCTGCATAATGAGGTGAGGCTAACTGGTTTGTAGTTTCCTGGGTCCTCCTTTTTGCCTTTCTTGTGATCGCTTCCTCCCCAGTTACCCATCATCTTCCCATCCTCCACCAGTTCTTCCCTAGTAGTCAGGACAAGGTCCGAGATGGAGGATCCCCTAGTTGTATCCTCCACTTTCTGGACCAGAAAGCTGTCCTTCACACAAGTTAGGAACTGGCTTGACATCTTAGGTGTGGTTGCGCTGCTCTTCCCGCAGATGTCCAGAAAATAGAAGTCTCTCGTTGGTATAACGATAAGCACCGATATAACGCAGGGGATTTATTACAGGCCTCCAAATCAGGAAGAGGAGGTGGATGAAGCCAAACATCTTCACCCAAATAAGTTCTTCTTTACTGCCTTGATCCAGGAAACAAGGGTGTGTTTGACACTGAAAAGCAACTCCCACACTTTTTATCCCAACCTTGTCCTTCCAAACGAGTGTAACCCTCAGTGTTGACACGCCAGTCGCGAGCGCTGTCCCACCAGGTCTCTGTGATGCCAGATGGATCATAGCTCTTTTCACAGGCTGCAGCTTCCAGCTCATCTGGATTATTCTCCATACATCTCACATTTGTATATGTGCTCTGGACACATTTTGCACGTTCATGAAGCACGCGCTTCCACTGCTTGACAAATAAGGTTTCTGTTTGTACCTGAAGCAAACCAGGTTAACCTTAATTTTGTTGTAAGCATGCTTAATTCCCCATCCTGATGGCTTTTTGGAGATTTTTCATATCATGGGGAGGTGGCTGCTCTAGCCTCGGTCCAGCAAAGCACAATGCCAAAACCTGTAGCTGTACACGGACATGCATGCAATGGCAAGCACAAGAGTGGTGGCATTGCTGTATGCTATTGATATCCCCAGGTTTGGAGCAGGTATGCTGAGAAGCTCTCGGATCTTGCCAAACCAGAGAATGCCACCATGGCCGTCCGGTGTCTGAATGAGATGATCACAGATGCTCTCCAGCATGTCCCCGATGTCCTCAAGTACTTGTCCAGACTCAAAAACAAAGGTGTCTTCAACTACTGGGCTAGTCTACAGGTAGGTTCATGTTTCCAGAAGGCTTCATCATCACGGGTTCCATAACCTCATTTATGGAGAGGGACACTGGTGGGAGAGGGGATGTCTATGTGCTACGCATAGTTTTCATATTAGTCCTCTTTCATTTCCAACTGAGAGAGATCAGGCATGATGATATGGATGAGTATGAATTCTTGCCTCGGGTAGAGAAACCAGGTGTTCTTCTGGTGCAGTGGCTCTCCTGTTTGCATGCTGCTAAGGTTTTGCATTTGTCGCTGTTTATCATTTCTCATTAGGTGATAGCCATTGCCACGCTGGCTGCTTGCTACAACAACAAAGACATGTTTAGGGGCATAGTGAAGATGCAGAAGGAACAAGCTGTCACTCTGATGAGGGATGCCACCAACATGCAGGCTGTCAAAGCTATAATGTCCCAGCATTTGGAAGAGGTCAGTTGGGTGCCTTGCTCTGGTAGGTACATACTCTTTTAGATGTAGACACTTTTTTCCAGCCCCCAGTGATACACTGAGGGCTTGGTTTGGTGACTCCAGTTAAGACCTTTTCTAGCTATTTAGTGATACACTGAGGGCTTGGTTTGGTGACTCCAATTAAGACCTTTTCTAGCTGTTCTGTGTCACTTGATGTTGCTGAACGCAATCTAGCAAACAAAGACGCTGCTAGACAGCATCTTAAAATAATAAGATCTTGGAGTGTACCTTTTTCCTTAATATGGTACCCTCCAGCCGTGCTTCTCTGCAATCCTATGACCCACTACTGTACTATCAAAGCCTTCTCAGTTAGGATCACTTGTGATGGATGCATTAAAGGAGGGCTGGGGGTTACGGGAAGACAAATTCAGGATGCAGAGTTATGCTCTCCAGAGAAAGCCTGTTCATGTGCTTAATGGCTAAAGAGCCTATTGTGGTGGGAACCATGCAGATAAGTAGTCACGCAAAGCAGGTTACGTGTCTCATGACACCTGGTACTCTTTGACGGGACCTTGTCCACATGGATCCATGATCTTCCTTCCCACGACTGTGGAGCCCTTGGAGTGGGTTTAGGTATTGAGGAAGAGGCAGAGCATTACTTGGGGTTGCTTAGCCCTTTAATGCCCTCAGGTGTGGAGGGGAGGGCGAGGGCATGCTCGGTGTGTGTATGGCAGGGGTGGGCAAGGGGTTCTCTCCAGCCTGCAGTGGGTACCGTGGTCTTGGCTGTCCCAGGTGGGGGTGGGGGGAGGGGGGCACCTCGGGCTGTGTCATGTGCAGCCAAAACTGCTGCACTGGGCCACAGCGGGGCAGGCATAGCATGGCAGCTGGACTTGGCTGCCTGGCAGCCCCCATCGTGGTGGCTCACTGTGTCTGGCTGCTGCTGCCAGTGTCACCACTGCCAGATCTAGCCCCACTGTCTGGGCTGGTGTACAGCTTCTGGTATACAGCGTCTCATGGGTGCTGCTGGTGAAACATCTCTGGCTTGACACATGCACGCACGGTGGGATTCGTGTGGGCAGAGACCTGCCAAGGAACCCCAGTTGCTGCCAGGGAAGTAACCCGCCTGCCTGGCTTTTGCACCCTGCTTAGGGGCCTGTTGCAAATCTGAGTCCACCAGTTATTTCCTCGCGGTTTCACTGAGTCTCACTAGTGCCAGGCTGTCCTGACCTCACAGTGCCAAGGCTTATGATGGGCTACAGCATGTTGAAGGCATGGCTGGAAAGGGTAAAGTGGAGTTAATAGGGAAGTCAGAACCATTTTATTGGACATCTGGGCTGTTGTTGCTGATACATTACACTTAAATAGTCTTCTGTGCAAGGCTGACACTGCTGTGGAGCAAAAACATTTGGCCATAGCCGTGGTCTTTGTAACGCTGCCAGGATTTTGGTGTGTAAGCATCTCAAACTTTGTCATCGACCAAGCTCTAAAGAGAGGGTCACTTATAACCCAATTCTAAGGAGGGACAAGTGCCCCCTCGTCTTTATTATAGGGGAAATGAGCTGCACGAATACAGTGGTCATGACTCAAATGTTGAGCAGGCCATATGGTTATTAATGCCTAGTAGTGTCCTGTTTGAGTAGACTCAGCATCCCACTGGTGATGTGGTCCTTGTGAAGGAGATGCCATTTCACAGGGGAGGGGCTATCCCATGGGCTGGAGTATCCCTGTTCCCATACTCACAGGTGGTTTCTTCCTTTTTCAGATCTACCAGAAAATCCCAAGCACAGACCCTTCTTCTAACAAGACCAAAGAGATCATCGCCTCTCTCCGGCCAATGATTTTGTCCTGAGGCACCATGGTGTCCCATAGCCATTACTCCCCCATCTACCTCTTGTGTGCCATTGTTTTGGTAGTAATGAGCTGGCAGTGTGGGGGCACAATGTCAAAGGCTTTGGGAGTGCGTTCAGGCTGATGAAAACCAAGAACTGGCACGAGGGAGAGTGCAGGTTGGCAGTTGAGCAATGTTGGGGACTTTATCCTGTTGTCCTGTTCCTCTTGCGGTGTGGTGCTGCAGGCTTTCTGGCAAGCAGAGACTGATGCCTTGAATGTAGGGTTGAGAAAAATATGGCCTGCAGGATCTGCCCCACCAAGGGATTTTGTCTGGCCTCTGGTGGGTCTTTCACTCCTGCAAACCCCAGGTGCAGGGGGCAGCCGAAGCTGTGGCGTGTATGGCTGGTCTGCCTGTCCTTGGGTGTGCAGCTGGGCGACATGATGGCTGGACGTGCTTCCCCCCAGTGGCAGCTCCTTCTGGCTGCTGCTGTCACTGGACATGGCTCTGATGCCCAGGCACCCTGGTATTGTGGCTCTTCCCCAGGTCCTGGCCCTGTAGTCACCACCCCATGATCCCGGGGTGTCCATGGAGAGTGGCCTGGACCTGCATGGGCAGGACTCAGGGCTGGGAAGATGGGATGGGGCCAAGGGCTGGTGGGGACCAGTGTCCAGGAGCAGGATGGGCAGGCAGGGCCAGGATCTTGGGGCGGTGACAGCGCGGGGCTGGGGCCACAGTCTGCTTCCCGCTCATCCCTGCAACTGGTGACAGTCTCACGGGCAGGGGCATGCGGGGTGTGGATCGCGGCCCCAACCCCACACTGTCACTTTCCTAAGATCCTGGTGCTGGGCACCCTCCCATCCCACTCCCGGACTCAGCTCCATCCCTGCCCGTGGCACCATCCCATCTGCCTGGTTGCACAGGTCCTGGCCAGTCTCTGGAGACCCTGAGATCTCAAGGCCATGACGGCACAGGGCCAGGGCCCCAACCAGAGCCACAAGCTGCTGCCCGCACACCCCTGCCCATGGAGCCAGCACCTGCTGCAGGGACATGCAGGCACCATATTGCCGTTGTGCCCTGGGGCCTGGCTCCACGCTGTCTCCACCCCATGATCCCAGTCCTGCCTGTCCATCCCACTCCCGGATACTGTTCCCAGCCTGCCCACAGCCCCATCCCAGGCATCTGGCTGAGCATACACGAGAGACACTTAGGGAGTTTTTTGAGCTGTTGCAGGTGGATGGGGCGTGCTGACCTGGCCTGCGACAGCTCACCAAAACTCCCTAAGTGGCCCTCCAGCCCAAATAATTGCCCATCCCTGCTCTAACAGATCAGGACATATGGAGATGTCCCTTGGCCCTGAACTTTTGTACATAACTGCCATTTACTGGGTCGGGGCATAGGTCCGTCTTGCCCTGGGAGAGTAAACTGGGTATGACCAGTCCTAGCCACGCTTGCAGCCTGCAGCATTTCAGGTCTAGGAAGTTTCAACTCAGAGGCCGAGCCCCTGTCTCCCACGCTCAATAGCTGCCGATACGCCTTTCCTCCATGTTAGCTGTAACCATTTCATTTTAAGGGGAGGTGATTGAAATACTCCTGGCTTTGTTTTTGCTGGTGTTTGCCCAAAAATGCCAATAGAGACCAGCGACGTGTACTGTCAACAAAAAGGATGTCCATTTTGTATAGGACCTGGAAACATTGTACAGGGAAGATGAGCTTGTCCAGTGACCTCAGCGGGAGTGTCTACATGTGCATTTAATGTGCATGAATAAACTCTGGGGCTATTGCTCTGGAGTTTATTCATATGCAGCCCATGGAGCCTGGTTGGAGCAGCCCAGCCTGGCAGGGGATCCAGGGCATGAGCCTGCCAGCCCGGGGCTGCTCCAACCAGGCTCCATGTGCTCTGGAGGGGCTCACTGAGGCATGAGGGTGCTTTCTGGCAACCCCGCACTACTATCCTGCAGTAGTTCCCACCAAGAGCAGGCAGCAGGGATTGGGCTTCTCTTGTCTCGGTCTACATGGGAGTGCATTCACCCAGGAATGGGAGAGACACCTTAGATGGAGACTTTCCTCCACAGCCCTGCTCCTGGGTAGCACACACAGCTGTCCCTACTTCAAGGATGGAGCTCAACCCTTTGGCAAAGGAGTTGTCTGTTGTAACTGGTTCCTCTAAGCTTGCACCAAGCAGTTGAGAGCTAATCCCGTGCCAACGGGCATATCTGTGTCTTTCACTCCACCACAAGGGTTTCGTATTGGAGGCGCACCTTCCCCAGCAGCATCTTCAAGCCCCAGACCGTGGGCTCTCACTAGCATCACCTCCTGTTAGCACCTGGACTGAGATACAGCTTGCTTTCCATGAAAGGGTGCTGGAAAACACTTCTGCTACCAGAAGCAGCATGTTCTCTTTTATTATGCGTGTTCTGATCTGCTAAAGTGAATCTTGACTGCTGTTTAGAGCCAGCAAAAGCAAGCATCTGCTGTGGTAGCAAGAGCAAGGGTACTGAAGCCTGGCTTTCAGCGGCTATGACAAAACTGTTACGTTCAAGATTGTTTAACTGGGAATAGCTGAGGTCTGTTGGCTTTGTAAAACACTACAGCACTGAGACATCCCAAGGACCCAGCAATTATGTTTAGCAGCGCTCAGACTTTGAACTAAGCTATGTCTAAAGCAAACATCCTCTAACTCTGTACAGCCTCCTGTTTTGCCAAGAATAAACTGATTTCTTTGCAGAGAAAGTGCTGTCTTATTCATTCGGGGTGTAGAGAGGTAGCTAGCCACATTAGTCTGAAGTCAGGCAGAAGGCAGGGCAGGGTGGTACCTTAGACACCAACTAGTTCAGAAAGGCATAAGCTCCTGTAGGCAACATAATTTAGTCATAGGTGTCTATCATCTGTTTGGGCTTCAAGAGGCAGACAGAAGCACTCCTAATTTATGGGGCATTGAGAGGACAAGTCCAGTAGGGTGCCCCACTACTATGGTTTCAAGAGATCTAAGTAGAGCCTACAGCAGGAGCAGGCAATTATTTTGGGCAGAGGGCTGCTTAACAAGTTTGGGTGAGGTGTTGGGGGCCACATAGGTAGCTCGGCCCCTTGACAGTTGCCCCACCCCCTGGTTGCCACATTGGGACCAGAAATTCTGCCCCCTAACCCCTGATCTTTGCCACCAAAAGTCCCTTGCTGCCCCTCTCCTCCACAATACTCTTTTGGGAGGGGGGTTGCCATAGATCTCATAATACTCTTTTGGGAGGGGGGTTGCCATAGATTTCATTGATTTCGTAGATATTAGGGCTGGAAGGGACCTCAAAGATCATCAGATGACTCTAGCAAGATAACCATCCAAACATTTCTTGAACCAGAAAAATCATCTTAGAAACAGAAAAAAAACAACCAAATCATACACTAGAAGTCAAACATTTACTATATTTTAATTTTATTACAAAAAAAAATATTTGTCATGACTTGTGATTGTGTACTGTATATAGAAGGGATTTCAGAATAACTAAAAAATAGTGTCAATCTTTTATATTGTGTGTGTATGGTGGAGTGTGGCTGTGTGTGTTTGTATGGTGGGGTGTGGGGGTGTGTGGGGAGGTTGTGAGAGGGTGTGGTTGTGTACAGGGGCATAGGGTATGTTCGGGTGTGTATGTCGATGGGGGTTGTGGGGGCAGAGTGTGGGAGGGGCATAGGGTATGTTCGGGTGTGTATGTCAATGGGGTTGTGGGGGCAGAGTGTGGATGCGTGGGGTGTGTGGAAGAGTGCGGGCAGTGTAGGGACACCCCACACACTCCCTCCATGGTGCACACCCCTGCGGCCAGCAGCAGGAGGTGAGCTCCCTCCACCCTTGGCAAAGTGCTGGGACCTGTGCACCTGGGGACGGGGAAGGAGGTGGGCTCCAGTGTGGAGCTTCCCTTGCTGCAAGTGTGGGAGCTCCAGGCACACGGCATAAATCCCCGGTGATAGAGGCAGCCAGGCAGGCTTTGCTCTCTGTCCTGCGCACAGCACTGGCTGGAGTCGCACCACACCGGGTGGCTGCGCTGGGCACGAGTGTCCTGACCTCTTCACCTGCTGCTGGTGCCAGCAGCGGGGCCTGCACACCATGGGATCAGTGTGCGGGGGGTCCCTACACCCCGCACCCTCACACCCACACCCTTTCCAGCTGACACCCATGCTCCTGCTGCTCCCCTGGGAGCAGGCTCCACGCTGCACTTTGCACTTCTGCCCAACTACAACTCCACCTCCCCCCACCAGCTCTGCCACTTTCCTACCTGCTGCCCTGAGCAGGTTGGACTTCCAGGAAGCCAAGCAGGTTCCTATGGAGTGGCTGCAGCAGGAGGCCTACCTGGAAGCTGTTGCTGGCTGGCCAGGGCCGTTCTGCCCAAGAGGGTGGGAGCAAGGCATAATAGGGTATGTGGTGGGGTTGTACATGTGGGTGCCTCGCTGGGTGGGACGCAATTCATTTCAGGGTGCTGCAAGCTGGATGAAAGTGCCTGGCAAGCTGGATGTGGCCCACAGGCTGTATTTTGCCCACCCATAGCCGACAGGGAGTACAGACTCTGCTGTAGCTTGTGCAGCTATCACTCCCACATTTCTAGGAGGCCCCATCTGTTGTTCAGAGAGAAGCAAGCCTGGGCACTGCAGAAGTTTCCCCCTCCCTCAGTCTTCACTCAATGGGCAGGCAACCACCCACAAGGCCTGCTCCACAAAGAAGAACAGAGACTCTGGAGATAATGTGGGGAAGATGCTGTGAGGTTTGGACTGGATGTGCAAAGAGGGAGATGCCAGAACGTACAACCGGCAGTGGGGGCAATGAGGAGGATGACTTGGTAGAACATGAGCTAATGTTCTTCCAGTCAAGAGCTGAAGGGTGCCTCTGGATGTGCAGGGAGGCTGCTCCAATACCCTGTAAATACAGCACCCTGTAATTACAGGGTGCTTTAACTACAGCTCATTGAACGATCTTTAGTTAAAGCACCCACGCCACCATTTTAAAGCACAGGGATGCTGATACATGAGACGCTGCAGGTGCTTTAATTAACTATTGCATTAGCTTAATAAAGGTGGTATGTAACTTTAGACTCATTAGCTATTCTGTTTCTCTATCAGTGGGAAAGATGAAAGAAGGTCCCTGCTGGAACCTGCAGGTAATAAAACTGCAATTTTTTAATCCCCTTCATGCTCAGTTAGGCCAAGGACTAGAGCCCTTGGCTTCATAGAGTTTGCCCAGCACAATGTTGGCACTACACTTGCCTTTGGAACAAGAGCTGCACCATGAATCCCACCCGCAGAGAAAATGAAGTAATCCAGTCCTGGCACAGAGGAAGACCCAGGACAGCTGATTCAGGAGACCTCCAACTCTGCCAGCCATCACCTGCCCCCACACCACAGCCCCTGAGGACCTGGCCTCAGCCACTCCTGGGGCGCATCTAGCAGCAGAGCCCTCTCCTTCCAACTCTCTTGGGGCATGGCACAAGATGGCTGCTTAAGCACTCAGGTCCTTAGCTCTCCATATTTCACATCCTAATAGCATCAAGATGATTTTGTTTTGTTTCTTTTTGCTTAATTTTCATGAGTAAAATATGTGGACTCTTTATGTATGTATAAATGGCATCAGCAAGCTGTGGAAAGAAATACAAGCATACGAAGAGGACAGGGCCTGGCTCTCTCAGTGATGAGAGAGAGATGCCTCAGGCCTTGCTATGTCTGGAGAGCATCTCTCAGAGGCAGATTTTGTCAGAGAAACTAGAAGGAGTTTCTGGGGTTATACCTGGGCTTTCTGCAGGCATCAGTGAGATTAAAGCATGCACTGGAATCCTGGAAAGTGATGTGAATAAGAACAGCATTGATATTGTGGAGATTAAAAAAGAGAATGCTGTTCTTAAATTGAAGAGCAACAGATTAAAAGAACAAGAGGAACTGGAGCAGCGGTTCTCAAACTCGGACAGATTGTGCCCCACCAATGTAAAATTTTACAACTTTAAGTACCACCAGCAAATTTTTGTCATGTAAAGTAATTATAATAAATCTGTAAATGCGTACCACTGACAGTTGTCTACGTACTACTGGTGGTATGCATACCACAGGTTGGGAACTGCTGAACAAGAGAATAATTCCTGTAGAAATAATGTAAGATTAATTGGGATTCCTGAGGGCTGTGAGGAAACAAATATGATTGGTTTCTTACAACATATCCTGCCAGAAATCCTGAAACAAGATCTATCGTTGCCGCCACCTGAGGGCAAAAGAGCTTGCCACTCGTTAGGAGATCAAATCCTAACCAGAATGGGCTCAAGCTTATGTTTAAGCTCTTGAGACTCTCTGATAAGGCTCACCTTTTGTCATCAGCTTAGAGGATTGGTAATTTTCTGTTTAAAGGACGTAACTTCTCACTATTTCCTGATTTCTCAAAAACTGAGCACGAAAAGAGCATCCGTCAATCAATTAAGCAAGCTCTACATTTGGCTCTGAAGTTCCCTCACTATGGGGATCAGCTGTCTTAGGGGGTCATCAGCAGTGTTGAGGGTCTCAGTGGCATCAAGGAAGGGCTGGAAGACAACCAAGATCTGGGAGATGGTATCCCACTCAGCTGTGTTTAGGGGAATGCTGATCCCAAGCTCCCCAAGCAAGGCCATCTCATGGATGGCCTTCTGTTGCTCCACCAGCCTCTCGAGCATCAGGTATGTGGAGCTCCACCGAGTCTCCACATCCTGCATGATTTTGTGCTGTGAGGTCTTCACCTCTGCTTGTTTGTCCGGCAGCATCTTGCCCCCTTGATGCTGCGGTGGAAGTAGCCCACCACCTTACTAAATTTGGAAACAAGCTTGC